TCTAAAGGCTGGCTGGCTAAGAACCAGGAAAAGCTAGTCCCTCAATTGAAAGTTTGTCAGAGGGAAAGAGCTGAAGTTCAAAGCCAGAATTCCCCCTTGCTCAGGGGAGGGTCAGCCTTTTGTTCTCCTCAGGCCTTCAAGGGATAGAATGAGAATGACCTGCACTATGGAGGGCAATCTGCTTTACTCAGGCCACTGATTTAAACATTAGTCTCATCCAAATACAGCCTCACTGAAAAATCCAGAATGTTTGACCAAATGTCTAGACACACATATCCCAGCCAACACATAAAACCATCACAGATGGAGAGAATAAATAAACTGATAAATACTAGTAAATCTAAGAGCCAGGTGGATAGGTATGATGTAGCATACTAATTTCGGTATCAAAGACCCACAGGCAAATTATTTTATCTCAGCCTCTGTTTTCTATTCTGTAACCATTAATAATATCACTTGATATGGTTACATGTTATATTTATAAAGCTCCTAACATACTTCCTGGCACATATTTCATACTCAGACTTTTTGAAACCAAACACATTATTTTTAATGTTACAACTTTCAGGGAAATATAATATCTCCCCATAAGTTGAAGGGTTATGGTACTTGGGACAGACTCTGTAACAAAAAAACAGATTAACAAGAGAAAAACAAGCAAGTTTATTAACACACACAGTATACATTGTGCAAAAAAGACAAAGACAAACCAGACTACAAAAAATAGTTGAAACATTCATAACAGATTAATATTCAAAATACGTAGTACCTACAGACTGACAAGGAAAAGACAAAATCAAAAAATGAGCAGAAGACATGGTCAGGGAAACTGCACAGTCCATCTCCTCAATATCCTAGCAGTTGTAAGTCAGCACTATTTAATGTGGGAGAGGATGTACAAGGGCCTGAAGACCCAGAGGCAGGACATCACTGGCACCATCTGGAGGCTGGCCACCACATACATTCTGCTGCTTTGAAAACAAGTATGTATTAAAAATATAACAATACAAGC